AAAACTGTTATTTAGACTTGACGTCTTTCTTCTCTGCTACATTAAGGTATGGAATTTCCTCACATTTAGATTTGTTCTTTTCTGCAGCTAAGTTGTAATTTCTTCTTGGTATTTCATCTCTTCCAGTTTTCCTTTCTTTTCCCATTTCCCTTTTTCTCTCAATGTTAGTTTTCTTTTATTTTTTACACTTGTCTTATCTTCCTCATCTTAGATTTTCCCTTTGCTGGAGTCAGTTTGGCTGACTAACTTGCTGTTCTCTTGCAGTCCTTTACCGCCCCATTAGCTGAATTGACATTTTTTTTTTTTGAGTTGGAGTCTCACTCTGTCGCCCAGACTGGAGTGCAGTGGCCACTCCCGGCCACCGCAGTCTCGACCTGCTGGGCTCCGGCGATCCTTCCACCTCAGCCTTCCAAGTAGGACATTTTTAAAAATTATTTTTTATTATAAAGATGTGGGGTACAGTTCAGGATTAGGTATAGAAAGATTAATCATGCAGGTATCCTTGTTGATGAAGTATGCCTCTGACCCTCCCCTAGCAGTTTCCCTCAACTGCCAATCCCATCCCCCCTCTCCTGACAGTCTCCCATTACTGCCAAACACTTTTTATAGTATTATTGAATTGACATTTGAAGAAAGCAGTGACATTCTTTTGGAAGCTCTCTTTGATAGGTGTGGTGGTGAAGTGGAGGAGGGAGGGGCTTCAGTTCTTGAACACAGAGCAACAGGAAGAAATCCATCCTATACGCTCAGATTTCTTGGGGGTTGTCTTCTGCTTTCTCAAGCATTATGTAGCAAGATCTTTAATTTTGATTAAATCAGACAATATGTTTCTATACAAGCATGTTTTGTGATTACTGATATGTTTGGATTCATTTTTGATATTTTGGTTTTACTCAGGATGCTTTTACTTTTCTTCTTTCCTTTTTTAGTCTGTCTTCTGTTGCATTGATAAAGTTTTCTTTCTACTGTTTTTGAAAAGTAAATGTATTTATGTTCTTATGATAAGTACCCTCTAATTATATATGCATATATATATATGCCCAATGTTATTCTTTTTTCTTTTCTCAATGCAATTTTATAACCTTTTTCCTGTATTTACCATGCCTTCTCCTTGGGCATATTTTTCCTCCTACTAACTTGTTACTTTTCAAATTACCTCTGTGACTTATTAGAAGAAACTACAGATGATTTGTATATAACAGAACAACAATTTCAGAGTTTATCAAATCAGCTGATAAATAATTGTACTCACATACACTTAAAAAAATAAAAAAGAAAATTATCCAACATAACTAGAACATAAATTCACTTCTTTTTTTTTTTTTTTTGAGTTGGAGTCTCACTCTGTCGCCCAGACTGGAGTGCAGTGGCCGCTCCCGGCCAACGCAGCCTCGACCTGCTGGGCTCCGGCGATTCTTCTGCCTCAGCTTTCCATACCTGTAGGCTGACATGGGTACCTGTAGCCGGAATTACAGGCATGCGCTACCACGCCCAGTTGATTTTTTTGATTTATTGTAGAGATGAGGTCTCGCTGCCCAGGCAGGTCTCGATCCCGTGGGCTCAGGCAATCCACTCACCTTAGCCTCCCAAAGGCGCGGGATTACAGGCTGAGCCACCGAGCCAGGCATAAATTCACTTCTTTCTTCCTGAGAGCCTTTGTCCCTGATCGTCCCTCTGCCTGGAGCACTTTTCATACTAGACACATGGATCCCTTCTCTTGCTCCTAGTGTCTGCTTCTGGAGAAACATGAGCACTTCTGCATAAACAGGAATGCTTTAAAAGGTATAATGCAGTATTTTATTTCATAGTTAAAAAAGCAACATCTTAAGTGTTCATCCATAGGGGAAGGGTTGTATAAACTGAAGTATGAAGGGGGATCCTAAAAAACCCAGAACCTATTTATGAAAAATTGCGTATTTATTCTTACATATTCAAACTGTAGTCACTTTGAAAGTACTCTCCGTTTGATGTAATACACCTACTGAGATGCTTTTTCCTCTGCTCTAAACAGTTTGTGAACTCGTCAGTTTTGTTGCTTTTTAGTGCTTCTGTCATTTTTTGTTTCACCTTTTCCACACTGGCAAAACGTTTCTCTTTGAGGACTTTTTTCATCTGGAGAAACAAACAAACAAAAAGTCACTCAGGGTGAGACTGGGTGAATAAGGAGGGTAAGGCATAAGGATCTTGCCTTTTGGGGTCAAAAACTGCTGAACATTCAGTGCAGTGTAGGCAGATGTGCTCGTAAATCACCCATCATGAAATAGGTAAATGTGTTCAAAGAATCTAAAAAAAAAAAAATTCACTGAAGGCAAACAAATCCTCTTACAATAGCTGACACTGATGTGGAGAAGTTTCTTGAACACTTACTTAGTAGAGGAAGCCTGGGCTACAAGGGGCCAATTCCGTTTTTTGTTTTTTTTTTTTGAGGTCCCCTTCATATATGCCTCATGTGGTGCAATGTAGCAGCAGCCCCCATAAGTGTTAATCTGAGAAGACCCCATAACATTTATTATTGAGTTTATAAAGTGAGTTTCAAAAAGATATGTACAAAATGTATCAATTTGCATTAAATTTTAAACTATAAATGAAATTCTATGTGCCTTAGTTGTTTCATATAATTTGTGCATGCATGGAAATCTATCATAAACCACCTGAAAAAAAGACATCAACTCCAAATTGATAAGATGAAAGAAGAATTAGAGTAATGAGTGTTGAAAGAGCGAGAATTGGGAGTGGTAGTCAAAGGGGATTTTAGTCTATATGTGATAGTTTCTTACTTGTAATAATTCATATATTCATGCACTCTTCCTAATGTCAAAAGCTAATAAAAAGTCATAAATCCATTAGAAAGGTTAATCCATATACTTTTCTATTCTTTTAAAAAATCAGAGGAAGGAGAATATGACCACCTTACTCATAAGGCTTTTTCCAACCTTTCTAAATATAAGTATTTCTCCCACCTCTTGGTTCATATAGCTTTGAGTTTACATTTGTCTTTGATTTTATTATACATACGTGTATTTTTGTCTTCTCCTGTAGACTATAACGTAGTGTCTCATCCCCTTTCAAATATTTTTAAGAGTGAATAAATTATTCACTTATGGTAAAACTTCAATAAATGTTTTTGGATTTATTTTGTACTAAATTAAAGAAATCAAATAAATAACACAAGATGAGAAACGCCCAATTATTTTAACATATCAGTTTTTATAAAAGGGCATTTTCACTTCAAAATGGTATTTAGTTTATTTTTAACTACTATGCAATCTAGATAGTCGTTTTGTTTTCTGACTACCTGAATTTTCTTCATCAAAAAACATAAAGTGATTGGAGCTGGGATTTTATAACTACTGTTTTTTGGTCCAAAGCGGTCTTTGTTGATTATTTAAGTCCACTAGGGGGCACTCTAGGATGTACTGGAAATTACTTTTTCTGATGGTCCCAGAGTGTTGGACAATTAAGACAGTTAAGGCAATAGACCGCTATGCCCATCAAATGTCGACTAGATAAAGAAAATGTGGCACATGTACACAATGGAGTATTATGTAGCCATAAAGCAGAACAAAATTATGGCCTTCGCAGTAACTTAGATGCAGTTGAAGACCATCATACTAAGTGAACTATTACAGGAACAAAGAACACACAGAATACGGTTCTCATACATGTTCTCACTCATAAGTGGGCCCGGAACACTAGTCACATTAGCACAAGAGTGGGATCAGCAATCGCTGGGCACTTTTGCAGGGGAAACATAACAACACAAAGGGTACCTGGTCCACGAACCAGGGAGAGTGAGGCCACTTAGAAGCCCAAACTTCACCTGCATGCAGCCTACTTATGTGTTAGATTCTCACATGTACCCAACAACTCTATAAAAAATCAAATTTTAAAAACAGACAGAAGACCAGGTGCATGTTAGTAAATCAAATCACAGATTGGGAGTGAGGGCTGTGGGTGAGGGTGGTTGTATAAAGTTTATCTTAGATTTTCAGTTCTGACATTCTATATAAAACCTCAGAAAGTTGGAGCCCATATGTCTATAAACGCATTGTGAGGATGATTCTCTAACAGAGGTAAAGGCATTGTAGTGCTACTGGACTCTGGGAGCATAAAAGCTCAATAGAAAACATTTGTCTTCAATAATTTTTATGACTAAAATCCTTGAAATTTGCTGGACTTGAAATTATTCCAAATACCCCTGATATTTTATCTTTTCATATATCTCCTCTGAGACAAAAGGAGCAAGGATAAATAGAAAAGAAGAAATGTGAAAAAATATCAAGAATATAAAGAGGGACAATAATTAATTTTACCAGCAATGTGTGACCTGATCAGAACAGTTGTGTGTGCCTGCAGGGTGTATGGGGAAGGGGTTGGATAGAAAAATGAGAGAGCTAGAGAATAACTCAGGATGGACTTTAATGTAGGTTCTGTTTTTCTCTTAACCAACTGAATTTTTGCTGGAAACATTTTCTGTGCAAACGGTTGATATATGTTGTGAGTTTCTAGAACTCTTCTGATTTCAATAAACTGTATTTACTTCTTCAGTACCCAATGCATGCTATTAAATAGTTTTCTTTTATCAGGATTTTCACACAACTGATTTCTCAAATTCTCTGTCCACATGTGCAATTTGGGATACAAAGTTCACGCATCCTGTGATTCTTCAAGGCTCTACTTAACATAATTGAGACACAGATTCTTCTCATACAAACGTCTCTTATATAACATGTTTCTGGAAAAACTCGTATTTTCGTACCTTCAAAATTTTTCTTTGATTCTCCTGCACTGATTGAATCCACAGTTTTGAAGAGATTACCGTGCGTTCTCACTGGGCCACTGTGGGTAGAGTTTCCTGTGAAGAGGAACAACAGAGCTCAGGTGTGATTGGTGCTCAGTGAGTTTGGTGGAACCTATGGACTGTAAGAACAAGTTTGGACCTGAGACTTGACATTGTCCAGAGGAGGGGAGAAGACGCCACTGCAACAAGGAAAGGAGTCATGGAGAGGAGACTGGGGACTTTGCTGGGGCTTCTGTGGGTCCAGGTTTGCTGTGAGTTGTGTTAATCCAGAAGGGGGACTGGGAAGTGCTCCACAACTGACAGGGGAAGGGAGGGTTGACATCAAGCTCCTGGTCTGTCCTACATCCGCACAATGGGTGTTTCTTGGAATATTTTTCAGGTTTGGAGACTGCATCAGTGATTCCCCAATAACACCATGTGTTTGTCTTTGCCTTTCCAACAGGGGTGAGAGGGTTCCAGGTGGAGCAGAGCCCTTCAGCCCTGAGACTCCAGGAGGGAACCAGTCCTACTCTGAGGTGCAATTTTTCTGCCACTGTGGACAGGGTGCAGTGGCTCCGACAGAATCCTCAGGGCGGCCTCATCAATCTGTTTTTCCTGACTTCAGGGATGAAGCAGAATGGAAGGCTGAAGTCAACACTGAATTATAAGGAACTCTATAGTACACTACATATCACAGCCTCGCAGCTGGAAGACTCAGGCACCTACCTCTGTGCAGCGGAGGCACAGTGCTCCCAGGCAGTCTGCAGCCTGGACCCAAACTGCAGCTGGGTCGCAGCCCCACCCCTTCCACAGAGGAGACGTGTTTCCCCATTCAGCATTTGCACAGCTTTGGGTTTCCTGATTGATGTTGCACTTTTATCTCTGCTAAAATGAGGCATTCAGGACTGTCATTTAGCTTGCTTTTTTTTTAAACTCTCTTACTCCCAGAAATCTTTTTGCAGGAAAAAAAACTCTCTATGAAACTATTGGAGCAACTGTTAAAGATGGCAGGACCGCACAGGAAGTGCAAAGAACTGTGGCCCTTTCTCTGGGGCTAGATGGCAGGACCACACAGGAAGTACAAGGAACTGAGGCCCTTTCTTTGGGGTTAGGTGGAGGTTGGGAGTGAGGGCTGTGGGTGAGGGTGTTTGTATAAAGTTTATCTCAGATTTTCAGTTCTGACATTCTATATAAAATCTCAGAAAGTTGGAGCCCATATGTCTATACACGCATTGTGAGTCTTTGCAAGTGGCCAGCAGTGAACCCCTTCAGTTGGCCACACCTGGACCCCCTCCCCTGCATATAAATCCTCAATAAACCTATGTTTCATGCACTGTGAAAAAAAAATGTCAGTACCCAAGGTGCTGATAAAATATAAATTACTGTGATAAAAAGAACTTGAAAAAAACAAATAGGAGATGACTCAGTGTTTCAGTTAATTGCAGATAATTTAATTTTCAACAAAAAAGAGTATGTGTAATATATGTGTATGTATGTGTGTGTATTAATAATATGTGTGTTATATATATGTGTATATGTCTGTATAAATATATATGTGTATATATGTGTGTGTACATATGTATACTACATACACACATATATACACACATATATTAATACACACATATATACCATTTATACACACATGTACACACATACATATATACATACATATACCAGTGGTGCCAAAAAAAGTATACACATTTTAAAAGATGTTTAGAGATGTTCACAGTAATCAGAAGTGTTTGCATGCTAATGGTAACCACTCTAAGCTCCTCTTGTTACTGCAGAGTCAAATGTGACTTGTATTCATCTTACTGAAAATTATAGTTGGAATACAGTTTTCCCTTTCATGAAATATGTATACATTTTTTGGTCCCGTGTGTGTGTGTGTGTGTGTGTGTGTGTGTGTGTATGCAAATATACATACATATATATATATGTATATATATATATATATATATAGAGAGAGAGAGAGAGAGAGAGAGAGAGAGAGAGAAACAGAGACAGAGATAGCGAGAAAGGTTTATATTCATATATTTACTTTTAAAGCGCACTACAAATATAATTTTAAAATACTGGCCAAGCTCAGTGACGCAGCCTGTAATCTTAGCATTTTGGGAGGCTGAGGCAAGTGGATTGCCTGAACCCGTGGGTTTGAGACCAGTTTGGGCAACTTGGCGAGACCTTGTCTCTACAATAAAATCAAAAAACAACCAGGCATGGTAGCACATACTTGTAGTTTCAGTTACTTGGAAGACTGAGACGGAAGGATCGCTGGAGCCCAGCAGGTCAATGCTGGGATGGCCGTGAGTGTGCCACTGCGCTCCAGCCTGGGTGACAGAGTGAGAATCTAACTTAAAAAAAAAAATGCTTAATATCATTTTGTCAGACACTTTCTGACTATTACATGTAACATCTAAGTACTGACAATACCTCTTCACTTTACACATGAATAAATACAACACAAGTGTCTTGCCTGAGCTCACATTGTCACTAAACTATCATTGAAGCTGGCCTGGGATTCTTCCTCAGGAAGTCAGACATCAGAATATGTACTCTGAACTTTTAACATCATTTAAGGTCTGGCGAAAGGAGCAAAGAGCTTTCAGGACTAGCCTAAAAGAAATGCTTATCTGTTGCAGCCGCACCAAACCTAGACAATCAAACAAAAAGTTTAAACCTGCATGTGGATAAGTCATAACACATTTAGTATTCCAATTTTGCAAAGTCTATTATGTTAATACGCAGACATTGGTTAGGAAGGAATGGGGCCCTGAGAATCAAGATGAAGACAAGCCAGACCATTCCGGTGATTCTGGAAACCGGGACAGTTTCCTGGACAGGTCTCAGAAAGAGCCTACAGCTTGGTCTAAAGCTGGTCTCAGAAAGAGCCTACAGCTTGATCTAAAGCTCTACCCTTACTGCCTTGAATTCTTAATTATTCTGTATTTGAAATTGTGTTTTCAAGTGAAGTCCAATAAGAGGATAGTGCATGCAAATGAGTAGATGAGATACACAGGGCAGTAGGACACAGGACAGGAACACATGCAGGCTCAGGTTTACGGACACAGTAGGTGGTGTGTGAGCTGAACAATCGGTTAGGCCATTTCTTTCTTTCATTCCTCCCTTCCTTCCTTCCTCCCTTCCTCCCTCCCTTCCTTCCTTCCTTCCTTCCTTCCTTCCTTCCTTCCTTCCTTCCTTCCTTTCTTCCTTCCTTCCTTCCTTTTTCTTTTGAGTTGTAGTCTCACTCTGTCACCCAGGCTGGAGTGCAGTGACATGCTCATGACCACTGCAGCCTCGACCTGCTGGGCTCAGGCGATCCTTCCGCCTCAGCCTTCCAAGTAGCTGGAGCTACAGGTGTGGGTTACCATGCCCAGTTTATTTTTTAATTTACTGTAGAGATAAGGTCTTACCAAGTTGCCCAGGTCGGTCTCTAACCCCTGAGCTCAGGTAGTCCTTTCGCCTCGGCCTCCCAAAGTGCTGGGATTATAGGTTTGAGCCACAGTGCCCGGCCAAGATTAGGCCATTTCAAAAGCACACATACACTCAGGGCCATGGGGTGTTTGGTGGGTCCTCAAAGTAGGTGGCAGTAAACTCTGTCAGTAAAGTACTATAAAACAAAAGCTTATACATGGACATTGCAATAAAGCATATTGGAGAGTTATTAGAATCATTCAAAAAGTTTAGAAATGCTTTGAAAATTGATAACAACATTCAAAGCAAACATCTGCAGGTTTAGAAATATAAATTAAATTTAAAGACAGCAGCTTGATGGAAAAAAACATTATTTTCATGTGAGGTTTTGAATAAATCAATTATTGATATGGAAGATAATTTAATTTTTCTTGTTATTGAAGGTTCAGTGATAGAATACATAAGCAAGCATTCTGAATGATAAACATAAAATGAAGCCTCTTTCAGTTTTTTATACAAGTTTCAAACTACAGAAAATTTCAGATAAAATATTAAAATGTTGTTGCATATATTTTTTACATTTAAGATGAAATTCAGATTCCATAAACCTGATTTGTATGGAGAGTCAGGTCATTTTAGAAAAATTATTCCACTGGAAACTTCAACCCAAGATTTACTAAAATGCATATTTCAATGACTTAATCAGATAATTATGCTAATGTTGTCACAATATATAAAATACTCTTAAGAGTTCCAGTATCAGTTGCATCAGGAGAAATATTCTTCTGAAAATTAGAAATATTCAAAATGCAATCTTACATTTACCAAGGGTACTTGACATTACTTTCAATTGTAGTGTTTGAATGTGAAGTTGCTAAAGATATGCAGTTTGATAATCTAAAAAATTATTTTGTGGAAAATCAACCAGAATGTCTTACAATTAATCAAAATATCACATTAGCAGGTATTATTATATCATATAAACTATTAAACCAAAATGTTTACAATTTCTAAGTTTATTTCGTTGCATAGGTATCTTTATAAAACCTACTGTGTTTTATAAGTAATAAAATATTTTTTAAAGAGAATTTAACATTTTATTAACTAATGGCACTTTTTCCTGCTTTTTGAAAAGGGCACATATTTTCATTTTACACTGAGTTCAACAAATGATATAGCCAACCTCAGCTGGAAATATTGAACCCCAAGCTAAACTTGAAGGCAGGGAGCTTAATGTCAGAAAGCAATCAAGATGTCTGAGAAAGTGTCTCTAGCTTTACATACTAAAACTCATGCAGCTCCTCTAGGTTTTCCAAGTTGCAGAGGTGCTTTTTATTTTCTACAAGAAATACATGCTGTGTTATAAATACACATATACGAAATATGTCTCCAGAAAGGATCATTCTCCTTTCCCATGGCCCAGACCTAGAGGAACCCGTGCCACATGCTGTGATGATCTTTACACTAGTGACTAATGTCCCTTTTTATCCTATTTTGCTATGTGGCTTTAGGCACCCCTTGATCCATCATCCATCACTGAGGTGGTAGAACAGGGGTCTGTGGCCACTGGCACCGGTCTATGCCCTGTTAGGAACCAGGTCACATAGCAGGAGGTAAGTGGCCAGTGAGCCAGTGAAGCTTCAGCTGTATTTACAGCCGTTCCTTATTGCTCACATTACTGCCTGAGCTCCGCCTCCTGTCAGATCAGCACTGAAAAACCTGCTTCCATTGCCAACATTTTCTTTTTGTGAAGCAGAGCTTTCTGTAGTGACAGCAACCACAACAATATTACAGAGTAGATTGAATGCACTTTGTGTGTCACTGTTTCCCGTCACCGCCAGATGGGACCATCTAGTTGCAGGAAAATAAGCTCAGGGCTCCCACTGATTGTGCATTATTGTGAGTTGTATAATTATTTCTTTACATATTACAATGTACTAATAATATCAGTAACAAGCACAATAAATATGCTTAAATCATCCCGAAATGACTAACACCTCTCCCCCATCCATGGAAAAATTGCCTTCCATGAAACTGATCCCAGATGCCAAAATGTTGGGGAGCGTTATAGAAGTAATGAAAACCTAGAAAGCAGTTTATCCTGAAGACGCAGTCTCTGCTTCCAAAGAGGCTCCAGGACAGGCTAAAGCAAACCTCAGACCCATTAGCCTGCACGTGGATATGAAAATGATTTACAGTTCCATGATGCAGGATAACTTCTCCTTACTCCTATACTTTACATTGCACACAATCAGGCCTTAATAAATATTTGAGCTGTTAAATAGCATAAAAGAATGTTAGAGCTGGAAAAGCTCTTAGAAATCCTTTAGTCCAACTTCATTTTACAAAGATGGAAACTATATCCAAGATGCCAGTATGAAACAATTAAATAGTGAGTTACAAGCAGAAAAAAGCTGGATTTCTTCACATCCTCCTTAGCATTCTTTCCCCTACCTCCGTGCTAGGACCAAATTGTTAAGCAAAGACCAACTATCCAACGAAATCCCATCCACTTTGATCTCTGTAATTTGGGTCTGGAAAAACTTTGGTCCAATCAGTTTGACCACGAGAATGGGAAGTTCCAGTTTGTGTAAATGTTTGCCACTTGGGCAGGCACGAGACTCAGGCTGAGCCATTGATACACTATAGGAAAATCCATCCATTACTCAGTGCCTTCTGTAGGAGTGAGTCAACCTCAAGACCCAGATGTTTTCTAAGGTTTTTTTTTTTTTTTTTAATTCGGAGTCTCACTCTGTCACCCAGGCTGAAGAGCAGTGGCAAGTTCACGGTCACCGCAGCCTCGACCTGCTGGACTCAGGTGATCTTTCCACCTCAGTCTTCCAAGTAACTGGAACTAAAGGCATGGACCACCATACCCGGCTACTTTTTTTATTTATTGTAGAGATGAGGTCTCACCAAGTTGCCCAGGTTGGTCTCAAACCTGTGGACTAAGGCAATCCTTTCACCTCGGACTCCCAAAGTACTGGAATTATAGGCATGAGCCACTGTGCCCGGCCGAGGACTTTCCTTAAAATGGCAAGGTATGTTCATTGTGCTAGAGGTCATCCCTTGAAGAAAGATATGAACATAATGAACTTCACTCATACATTGTCAAAAAAAAGATCTTTGAAATAGGGAGACTATAAGGAACATTGTCCTCATGCAGTTGGCAGTCCATGAAGGGCTATCACAGCTTTTCTGGGCCAACACTTTGACAATGACTCAGGTAGTGTTCAATGAAATAAACACAGGCTGGGAGTCTTGTCAAGGTAATGGCTATACTTGTGGTATATTTAATATATAGAACACTGTGCTTCTTTTAAAGGGTTGTATTTAGTGCATTACAATTAGTTCTGAATGCCATAACTCAAAAGGGCAAATATTGACCTAATATATCTTTCTCCAAGAAGAGGAAAATTTGTTTGATAGAGAATTGAAGAATTCTACTGTAAGGAGAATGAGTGAGAGATCAGAAGATTCTTAGAATGGAGAAGTTTTATATATGTAAAAAATCACATTTTGTGTACTTGTGTGTATGTTTATATATTGAATTAAGATTTGCCATTAAGCTGTCCTTAAATCATTTAGGGTGTGAGATGTGAATGAGCCAGTAGCTTTGTTCTCTATAACTTTGGGGGACTAGTGAGTACAAATCACAAGAAAGAGTCTTCTACTTCTGGAAATGAGATAGTCTTGGCTTTCCAGGAACCAATTTTTGGTCTGTTTTTTAGGGTCAGCTTTTTATTTGTATTATTCTCTTAGAAGACATAGGCAATATTTAAGTTTTTCCATATATTCTTACAGAGGTAATCAGAAAATATTAAGAGATTAAAGTAGAAGAGAAAGGATTTCTGGAAGATGGAGATCGACTTAGAAACTTAGACCTGAAAAGACTGAAGGATGTTAGCAATATTTTGAGGAAGAACATTGTTGTAGAGTTTGGGAGAAAACAGAAAATAGAATCTGAGCCGGAAATTTCCAGGGGAACAGGAGTCCATGCCAGGAGAGTTGGCTCATACTTTAAAGAGAAGTTCCACTAAAGACACGAGTCAGTCATTGTATTTAAAGACATGCCATATTGATACAATTCAGTTTGGGATCAGAAAATAAAAGCACCTCATGCAGTTACACTTTTTGAATCTATCACTTGATATTACCTCAGAATTTCTGCTTTTTCTTTCAGGACTTTACAGAATACAAGTCACAAAGCAATAGGATGATTCTTAAACATGCCAGATTTCTCACCGCAAATCAACCAAATCTATGGGTCAAACTGTTTCCTATGATTGGAGAATTCATAACTCAAGGAACTTGTTCCCTTGCTCCTTTATCATTGTGATTTAGTTCTTTACTTTTTATCACAGTCAACATTATTGGGAAGAACCGGGCTTGAAGAAGCAAAACCTGAGATAATACACATTTTAAATACTCTGATCTTTGGCTTACATGCTCCTTTAAGAAAAATAGTTTTCCTCCTTAATAGACAAAGCATGACAGTAAATTTGTCTTAAAAACAAGGTATTATCTTTTCTTTGAATCATGATGCTTTTCTGACTTCAAACATGTAAGCCCAGTCCATCACTGAATAAATACCAATAGCATCTATTTATTTTCTGTTTTTAAATAATGACTCAGTAGTGTGCATAAGCATAAATCTTGATCTCTACATTCTTACTGTACATTTATTCTCTAATTGAAAACCTAATTTGTTTCTTTGACCTATTACTGTTTTATGTGTATAAGTCCATAGAGTAAAACATTCATTCAACCAGCAAGTTATGTAGTTAAGGATGTGACCACAAGAGGGTAGTGTACCTCTGTTGATGTGGAAGATGCTGAGGATTCATTTTGGTGGATTCTGAATGAATAGGCTTATGGCAGAAACAGAGCCTTTTCCTTATTGGCTGAGAAGACAATGTGAGAAACCACTACGGTTGTTAGAGAAAGAAGGGACAACTCGATGATGAAGTAGCTCTTATGGCTGAAGACTGCAGGTCTACGACTGATCCTGATTGGGAAGAACAATGATGACATCCATTCAAGCTTTATTCATGTTCTTGTGGCTGCAGCTGGACTGTGAGTTGAGGGTTTGGGGTAACAGAGTACATTAGTGGATGTTTTACAGATATTCAGATAGATGACTGACTTTTTTTTCATCTGGTTATATAGACAAAGAAAATTCTAGAGAGCAATGACCTAACAACCCCTCTTTTTCCTCACTCTTTCTTTCTGCATAGGCATGAGTGGAGACGAGAATGTGGGGCTGCATCACCCTACCCTAGGGGTCCAGGAGGGAGACACCTCTGTTATCAACTGTACTTATTCAGACAGTGCTTCAACCTACTTTGCTTGGTATAAGCAAGAACTTGGAAAAGGTCCTCAGCATATTATAGACATTCGTTCAAATATGGACAAGAAACAAGACCAAAGACTCACTGTCTTACTGAACAAGACAGTCAAACATCTCTCCCTCCACATCACAGACACCCAAGTTGGAGACTCAGCTGTTTACTTCTGTGCAGAGAATACACATTGCTTCCCAGGCACCTGCAACATGTACTTTAACCTAAGACAGGAACTGAAGGCACACCCCTTTTCTTTTGACACAGACCTTTAAGTATAGCATTTTCCATTGTTTGCTTGTAAGTGGAAGCTAGCATGTGGACATTAAAAGCATAATATAAGAAGATTATGTTCAAGGTGATCCAGAAAGTGTTAGATCATTTTGTTGACTGATTGATGATCAATGAATTGTTTTAAAATTTATTTTCAGGCAACCCCTTCGGTTCCCCTCTCACTGTGGGAGATTTTCTGTCCTCTCAATAAATCCTGCTTTCAAAAAAAAATTTTTATTGTATATATTTAAAGTGTACAACATGAAGTTTTGATATACATGTATGTAGTAAAAAAAAAATGAGATGAAGAGAGGCATAGGGCAAGGTATAAGAAGAGGGCCTTCGAGCCCCAGACACCTCCATATGTTCAGCAATTAGGAAGGTCCACATAATGCATTCTTAAAGGAAATTAGTGGGTTTTTTTCAAGGCAGGCTTTAAAGATGACTTTATATTTGCTACTCATAATCCACTCCCATAAATTTCCCCTTAGAATCAATTTCACAATCTCTATCATAAATTGACTTTTATTTATTTATTTATTTTGAGTTGGAGTCTCACTCCATCACCCAGGCTGGAGTGCAGTGGCACTCACACAGCCACCCCAGTGTCAACCTGCTGGGCTCTGGTGAGCCTTCCGCCTCAGCCTTCCAAGTAACCGGAACTACAGGCACATACTACCACGCCCGTCTAATTTTTTAAAATTTATTTATTGTAGAGATGAGATCTCACCAATTTGCCACGCTGGTCTTAAACCTGAGGGCTCAGGCAATCCACTCCCTTCGGCCTCCTAATGTGCTGGGATTACAGGCTAAGCCACCGAGCCCAGTCATAAATTGACTTCTAAATTGTACTTTTCAAAAATAGCTTTTTCTTGTAATTAGGATTATAATTTTTTAACTTAATATTATATCTTGATTTGAGCAATTCTCTTCTCATCGTCTTTTCCTGAAACATATGCTTTTTAATAGCTTTGTGAGAGATTTTCATAAGTCACAATAATTTTTATTTTCTTATTCTCTATATCTGTGGTAAAATTTAGGAGGCTTTTCTACCTGTTCTTTCTTGTTAAGAAAATGTGACTTGGGTTTTCCTTCAGAGTGTAGTTTGGATATTTACTGTTTGTGTGTTTGAGGGAAGTTAAAATTAGAGGTGATTTGAGAGTGTGAACCTCAGATTAGACTCACCAACCTATTCTTCTTTTCCAAAATCATATTAGTATCTTTTCCTATTTCTCTCTCATATAATTAAGAAGGAAGAGTTGTGTGTTTTAATTACTGCTAAGTCTGCAGAACCTCGTACAAGCTTTCCCGCATAGTAAATAATTAGTAGATGTTTATTATATAAAGAAAAAAGTGACATACTATAGTATATTCAAAATTTTAATTTAGGCTGTGTGTTTGAATTAAATGTATAAATTGATTTGTGAAGAATAAAACTCCTTAAAATGTAGATTTGGTTACTTGATTATTCAAGAACATAATATTTATTTCCACTTATCTATGTCTTTTTCCATAAAGCTCAGTTGTTTTAAGATAATTAATTTTTTTCTTAGACATTTAGTTTATAGCTACCCTTATTTTGCTGTTTGGTTTATGTGGGAAAGCATTTTATAAGTTTTTTCAGCAATCTTACCCAATTCTTTTTAGTGGATTGCAGGAAGCATTTGGACTAATGGTTAGGCTACAGATAGCTTGCTACATACCTCCCACCTTCCCTTCCATGTTTTTGCTGAATTAAACATTAATACCACAGTTTCTTTTTTTAAAAAGCCATGTATTTTAGCACTGTAGGTAAATCAATGGAAATAAAGATGTTGCGTAAGTAGTTAATTATCATATCTGTGGTCAAAGGTGGGGGAATTTCAAGACCCCTCATATTCTTCTTAAGGATAGATATACTTGGCAGTGGGTATGATAAGAATGATCCCTCTTGGTTGAGTTATGGTTGTTATTAGCTAACTGGCTCAGATTCTTTGAGAAAGTCATTGGACTAAATTAGGGTTAAAACAGCTGAAAGAAAGAGTAGTATTGTAGCCCAACACCTCAACTGGGTTTTGTTATTTCCCTTTTTATACCACCAGCTCCAGTCCAGTAGAAGCAAGTTGACTCTTGATTGGTCCAGTTCTTCTGAGACTGAAAATGGAGTGACTAGGGATCATGGCTTATATACTATTGTTTTATTGCTTGGTTAGAAGAAAGAGGATGTAATTAATATTAGTTGAATTGCTGTGTCTTACTTAGGTGTTAATTTTTCCAATGGAAGAAAAAAATTGTCTAGCCAGTATGCAGAGTCAGTATACATTTTACTTAGATCCAGACATATTCAAGCTTTATACCTTAAATGGAAAAGAGTACTAATGAGGAGTGACTTATACTACCAGGTAATAAAATTTATGGTGAGATTGGCATAAAGTGAAACAAATAGATTAATAGAACTAAATAAAATATGTGGAACAAATATACTAAGGCTTGTGTATTTTTTCCATTGCCTCTGTACAAATTTGCTGGCTTAAAACAATACCTGAGGCAAGTGCCACAGAAACAATAAAGAAAACTAAAGGCCAGTATCTCTGAGGAACATAGGTGCAAACATCCTCGACAAAATACTTGTAAACCTCATCCAACAACATATCATAAAGAGAATTCATCATGGTAGATGGGCCTTATTCCCAGGATGCAAGGTTGGTTCAGCATATGCAAATCAATAAACATAATCCAACAATATAAAGAAGCAAAACTAATTACCACATGATTTATCTTCATAATTTATAAGAGGTACTTGCATAAGGACTTTAAACATAAAGATATGTTTAGCATGATCATCCGCCCAAGTATTTTTTTCCTTGCTACACCAGGAAACTTCTGTTTCCTGTCTTAGAGTAGCAGCAGCTGAAGCAGCACATAACCCAGTAATTCTTCTTTCTCCCTGTCAGGCTCACCTCACAGTGCAGAGGTCCGGAACTGAAGAAGAACTAGGTATTTTTTATCTAGGGGAAGGACCAAACATGTTGCTCTCTAGTCTGATGAAGATGGTCGCAGCTTCAGTGTGGCTAGGTAGGGATGGCATAGTGGGAGTGGACTTTCTCTATGACCTTGAGACTGGCAAGTGTCTTGTGGGAATGTTGGGAAGGAGGGGTAACAGGGTGTAAAAATAGAACTTTTTTTTCCAATGCCACTTATTTCTAAACCCTGCAGTTCATTTTGTTTTTAGGATCTGGCATTTCCCAGAAGATAACTCAAGCCCCACCAGCAATGCTGGTTCAGGAGAAGGAGGCTGTGAATCTGAGCTGCACATATGATACTAATGATGCAAGTTATGGTCTATTCTGGTACAAGCAGCCCAGCAGTGGGGAGATGATATTCCTTATTCGTCAATTTTCTTATGACCAGAAAAATGCAACAGAAGGTCGTTACTCATTGAATTTCCAGAAGACAAGCAAATCTATCAACCTTGTCATCTCAGCATCGCAATTGGAGGACTCAGCAATGTATTTCTGTGCACTGAGAGAGGCCACAGTGAGAGAATTGCTCGAAGGAGGTATACAAAAACCTCATGGTTCTGCGTGAGACATTCTCCTGCTGAGCAGACCAAGGCAGAGAATCACTATCACAGACAGGAAGCGACTACAGCTGTGGCAGCTCAGGGGTAGCATTAGAGAGAAAGAAAATACCATAAGAAAATACCTCTCTAAGTTCACAGAACATGAAGAGCATTATCATTCTTTAAAACATCCTAATCCTCGAATCTTTGGTTTGAAGTTAGACATATTAAATTTTTGACTGATTAAAACACAGTCACAATAAACAATTTGCTATTTGGCCACTTGATCGAGCTATAAGAATTGACTAAATAAATTAAAAAACGTATGACTGAAAAATCATTAAAAATCTGTGTGGATTTTTGGATTTTCAGATTAGTTTGTTCAATAAATAGGAAGAGGTCTTTAAAAAGCTCACGGAAATGCACATTATAAAATACTATGCACGATTTTCATTTTTTCACTAAAATAAACTTGTACTAAGTTGTTATAACATATATGAACAGGATCTTTTGAGGCACTAAGAAGCATAAGATAGTTTGAAAAGAGCGCCTATCAGAGCAACATATATTCTGCTAAAACTGAGACAAAAACAAGCTTCAAATTTATAGTGAGGCTTGAGTGGAAGGATGGTAAAATCATGAAATATTTATGGGAATCAATGTCCCAAGTAAATCAGCCGTTTGCAAATCAATAACTTGTTTTAAGAAGGGGTGAGGGTGGGATTGGCAGTAGTGGGATTCTGCCAGGGAAGCAGGGGTGAGAGGAGGGGGGGCACACCTCATCAAGGATACCTGCATAATGAACATTTGTATACTTAACCCTGAATTATCTCCCATATCTTTAAAATAAAAATTTTTTATAATAATTAAAAATAAAAAGAAGGGATGCGGCATTGTTAAAGATGAAGCCCTCAGTGGAAGACCATCCACACCAATTTGTTTGGAAAAAATTAATCTTGTTTCTGCCTTAATTGAAATAGACCAATGATTAACAGCAGAAACAATAGTCAACATCATAGACATCTCAACTGATTACGCACAAACAATTTTGAAAGAAAAGTTAAACTAGACCAAATTTTTCATTTGATGAGTGGCAAAACCATTGCACCCAGGTAAGCTGCAGACAAGACAATAGATGTAAATGAAAGTTTTAAAGAAATGGGGTCAAGTCTCCTAAGGCATCTCTTTGAGGAACTGTAAGAGGAGATGAAGTATGGTGTTGTCACTATGATGCTGAAGACAAAGCACAATCAAAGCAATGACCACCAAGAGGTGGAAGTGATCCAGTTAGAGCAAAAGTGTACTAATCAAGAATAAAGGTCATGGTGACAATTTTTGGGGATGCTCAAGGTATTTCGCTTGTTGGCTTTCTGAAGGGCCAAAGAATGATAACATCTGTGTACGATGAGGTGTTTTGAGGAAGTTAGTCAAAGCTTATTTAGCCAAAGTCCAGGAATGCTTCACCAGAGTGTCCTTCTTCACCATGATAATGCTCCTATTTATTCTTCTCATCAAACAAGGTCAACTTTGCAAGCATTTTGATGGAAAACTATTAGTATCCACCTTAAAAGCCTGATTTGGTTTCTTATGACTTCTTTTTGTTTCTTAATCTTAAAAAAAAATCTTTAAAGGGCACTCATTTTTCTTCAGTTAATAATGTAAAAAAGATTGAATTGACATAGTTACATTTCCAGAGCCTCAATTCTGTAGAAATAGACTAAATGGCTGGTAGAGACTAGGTGGCTAGCCTAGCCTGAATCCAACACCTAAATAGATAGCACAATAAAAAATATTTACTCTTGACCAGAGATGCAAATATTTAAATTACATAATTAAAAAACAGGAGACATAATTAAAAAACAGAATAATGCAGCTTGATTTTATAAGACATTGTTCACTTATCTATTTTTAAAAAGTAATTGAATGCCTACACTGTGACAAACTTTGTGCTGAGAACTCATTCCATTTAATAACCTTATTACAATCTCTAGTATGGAAAAACTCAATTACTCTAATGTAGGTTTACCTGCCCCATACTAGACTTATTCATAAAATGATTAATAATTACTGGATCTTAGAGAAACATTGTGAAGAGGCAGAATATGAATTGTTTTCCACAGTCTTTGGTTTTGCCCTTCATTTCATAACTCCATCAGAAGACTTTAATGTCATCACAAGGATCCGTTTTCATACCCCCAGATGTGTTATGTGCAATCAATGCTCCATAACCCCAAATCCTCATTCTCTCCAATGTTCTTCTTCTATCTCTAATCTTGCTTTCTCTTGCCCCCAAATTTGTTGGGTTTTTTTTCTCTTTTAATTTTTTTTTTTTTTTTTGAGTTGGAGTCTCACTCTGTCACCCAGACTGGAGTGCAGTGGCCGCTCCCGGTCACCGCAGCCTCGACCTGCTGGGCTCCGGCGATCCTTCCGCCTCAGCCTTCCGAGTAGCCGGAATTACAGGCGCGCACTACCATGTCCGGCTGATTTTTTGATTTATTGTAGAGATGTCTTGCTGCCCAGGCGGGTCTCGAACCCACGGGCTCAGGCATTCCACTCACCTCAGCCTCCCAAAGGCGCGGGATTACAGGCTGAGCCACCGATTCCAGCTTCTTTTTTTAATTTTTATTTTGAAATTGTGGGGTACAATTCAGGGTTAGGTATACAAATGTTCCTTGTGAAGTACCCTTATTGATTAGGTGTGCCGCCCCTTCCCCAGGCGGATATCAACTACTGTCAATCCCAGCTTCCCATCTCCACCCCGCTCCCCGCAGTTTCCTGCTACTTTCAATCCCTTTCCTACAGTAATACGGTAGTTGTTCAAGGTCCACTTATGAGTGAGAACATATGGTACTCAGTTCTTTGTTTCTGTGAGAGATCACTCAGTATTATAAGCTCTAATTCCATCCAGGTTGTTGCGAAGTTCATGATTCTGTTCTTTTTTTTTTTTTTTTATCTAGTCCTCTTTTGATGGGTAGCACAGTTGGTTCCATGCTATTGTGAACAATGCTGCGATAAACATACAAGTGCAGGTATGCCTTAAAATATGAATGGTAATCATTGGTTGATATATGGTCTTGTATTGTAACTTCTTTTTATATTTGCATTTGGAAAGTAGATACATAGAGTGGAAATCTTAAGTAAAGCACGTTTTAAAAGTTTAAAGTATTTTTTATTATAAAGATGCAGAGTACAATTCAGGGTTAGGTATACAAACGTTGATTATGCTGGTAAGCTTGTTGATGAGGTATGCCCCTCCCTCCCCTAGCACTTTCCCTCAACTGCCAATTCTATCCCCTCAGGTATAATTTTTAATTGTTTAAAAATGTATGCTACATAAAATTTGCCATCCTAATCATTTATAAGTGTACAAATCTGTGGTATTAAGCACATGCACATTGTTGTGCAACCATTACTACCATCCATCTGGAGACACTTTTCATTTTGAAAACCTGAAACTCTGTGCCCACTAAACATTCTCTGGAATCTACCATTCTACTTTTTGTCCATAAGATTTTGACTACTCTAGATAATTTGCATAATTGGAATCCTATAATACCTATCTTTTCTGATAACTTTATTTCATTAAGCATAATGTCCCAAAAGCTCATTTATGTGTCAGCATGTTTTCAAAATCTCCTTCCTTTTTAAGGCCAGATAATATTCTATTATAGGCATATACCCCATTTTGTTTATCTGTGTATCTGTCAATGGACATTTGGATTGCTTCCACCTTTTGGCTATTGTGAATGAGTTACTCTGAGAAACGGGTTGCAAACATATCAACATTTGGGCTATATACCTAAATTCTTTTAATTTGGGGGCTATATACCTAAAAGTGGAATTGCTGAATCATATGATAATTTTATTTTGAATTTTTTGGAAAATTTTCCAACTGTTTTTCCACAGTGGCTCCTGAGTCATTGCATTGTCACAGCAGTACACATAGGTTCCTATTTCTTGGCATCCTCATTAATACTTCTTTTATTATTATTATTTTTTATAGTAGCCATTCTCATGAGTGTGAAGTTGTATGGCATTGTGGTTTTGATTTCCATTTCCTTAATCATTAGTAATGATAAGCTTCTTTCCCTGTGCTCTCTGGCCGATTGTATATCTTTTTTTGGTGAACTGCCTATATGGCTACTTAACTCACTTTCAGTTGGATTGTCTTTTTTTGCTGCTGAATTGTAAGTTTTTTTTTATAAATTCTGGATTTTGATTTTTGTATCTGATAAATGATTGGCAGATATTTTTCCTTCATTACATTTTTTCCACTATGTTGATTATGTCCCTCGATGTACAGAAGTTTTAGATATTGATGTGGTCAAATTTGTTTATTTATTTTTGTATCCTATGCTTTTGGTGTCATATTCAAGAAATTATTGCCAAATCCAATGCCATGAGGCTTGCTCTTTTGTATTCTTCTAAAAGTTTTATAGTTTAAGGTTTTATGTCTAGTTTTAAAAATCTATTTTGGTTTGATTATAGCATATGGTGTAAGATAAAGGTATGACTTCACTCTTTGCTTGTAGATATCCAGTTTTCCCAGCATCATTTGTTGAAAATATTTTAGAGTCTTAGGAACCTTGTCTAAAACCATTTGGTCATATAAGTGCAGATTTATTTTTAGGCTTTTTATTCTGTTTCATTAATCTGTATGTCTGCCTTCATGCAAATACCACACTATTTTGCTACATTACTGTAGTTTGAAATCAGTTTTGAAATCAGGAAGTGTGAGAGCTTCCAAACATGTTTTTTCCAAGACCATTTTGGCTATTTGAGATCCCTTAAGATGCCATATAAATTTTTAGAAATTTTCTATTGTTGCAAAAACATCGTTGGGTTTTGAAGGGGATTCAATAGAATCTACAGATTCTTTTAGGTAGTATCAATATTTAAATAATATTATATGTCTTAATCCATAAACATAAAATATCTTTCTATTTAGTCGTGCTAAATTCTTTCAGTGACATTTTGTAGTTTTAATGATATTAGTTTTAAAGTTTATTTTTAAATATTTTATTCT